GCCGTTACCGGCCGGCGGCGCCGCGCCGCCCTGAGGGGACCGCGAAGGGCGGGTGCTCCTCGGCTTGTTTTGGGGATACATAGTGATGTTTAAGCACAGATTTAGTGTAAGTGCTCGCCCGGATAAAGCCTGCTTCTCCGTCACACGCTTCTCCGCTGGAAACTGGTGCGAGCCCGCACCGGGCGGGTGCTGGCCTGGGAGGGAAGCTTGGGGTGTTTGGCTTTAGTCATGTAAGCAGAGAAACCTCGATGATACGGGAAAGAAAGCACTGAGGAAACTTTAGAGTAGTATTTCCACTGCTTGGACTTTGTCTGGAATATATGAGAGGTTGATTCTACCAGTAGCCAGAAGTAACCGGTGCAGGAGGAGTATGGCTGGCTCACTCTGCTCCTTCCCAGCGGAGGCGGGCAGACGGGGAGTGGAGCCGTGGGCTTGCCTCGTCCCCGCCCGTCTTACATGCCTGCTGTGAGGGGTCTGAGGGACGCATCTTCAGACCTCCTTTGCTGACAGCTCTGTGACTTACCTTCCTTTGGAAAGGAAATCAGAACTGACAATAAAAATTAAGTCAGGGCCACTTTAATGCCTCTTTCTTTAGCTGAATCTGCCCAACAGAGGGTAGAAGAAGGTAGTTCAGTGTAGCCTGGGTCTGTGGTGGTACGTGGTCCTGAGAAAAGCCACTGCTCTGTGCTGGAGAGTATGTTCTCTCTTCCCAATCCCCTTTCTCCACCTGCTCTCCCTACATCCCCCAGCCCCCAGGTCCTCCTCCGAATATTGCCTGTGGGACACTGTGAGATTAGAGAACAACCATATACGCAGCATGCCTCTTCTGGGAGCCCGTCAGGGTGCCTGGATTTTGGATCGCAAGTTCTTCAAAGCAAGGACTGTCCCACTGCTCTCTTTGCTGCTGCACTTGCTTTTCTTGTGTCACGCTGCAAAGAGCCTGTGCTTATAAAATACTGACAACGGTAGCGTAACTCTAACCGCAGGATTAGCTGTGTTCATTTCAGGTGAGCCCGAATATGAATTCATCCACAGCCAGTTAATTTGCTTTTAACCCAGAATAATGTATTCCTTTTATGCTGTGTGGCAACGTTACCGGCTTGCATGGGATGGGTGCTTTCTCCCATTGTGGCACTGTAAAAGATCCAGTAGAAGAGGCAGATATTTACGGCAGGACTCACAGAGCACAGCAGTGCTGAAAACCACAGCCTGACTGGATTCCATGGCTAGTACCTAGTTTTGGAGCTGCCTAAACCCCTTCATCATCATCCTGCTGACTTCTAAAGATAGGAACCTGATGTTTTGCGTAGGGTATTCCCAGAGCAGCTGGTTTATGCCTCCCTCCTGTGCCCCATCTGGACCCAGAAATGCAGTGTCCCTAGGTCTTGGGAGGGTCGCAGTCTGGTACACATATTCTGCTTGCTACTGCCAGGATCATATTCTTTGTAATGCAAAACTGTGAGTAGTGAAAGCACATATATCCAAGAGAACTTCTCTTTCACTGTATAACATTTAAAATAATAAAATACTTGATATTATAATGGTCCACTAGTTGAAACAGAACAGCCTGGGGCTTTGGGGAGTGATAAGGGACACTGATCCCAGTTACCTTTTTGGTGCAACCAGCGCTGCTCCTCTGTTCTCTGTCTGTGCGTAGGTACATGGACCGGATTATGAAGGGTTGGAAGTGAATATGCTTAGCTCTGATAGGAAGGAAAATTATTCTGGAGATTATGATCTAATTAATCTATTTTGTAAGCAATTTACTCTGAAGGTTTTTTTCATTTGAAAACTAATTAACAAACATGTTGTGACTGCATCTAAAAGAGAAAGAACGTAATGTTGAAACTAAACTTTGTCAGGTAACAAACTCTAATAAGACTGAAATGCAGAAGCAGTAATCACCTAAACAACCAAAGCGTAACATATAGAACAAAATGCAATAGAAATCTGATGCCCCATCAAGTCCTTCTAAACAGACAAGCAATCTGATAAGGAGGGCTCTTTAAAAAAGCTTGCAAAGCCACAGGAAGATTAAATGAATGGAGGTTGAGGTTAGTAAAGGTCAAACAGGAAGTAAATGGCACTTTTTTAACGTGAAACCTGAATAACCACTGAAGCAGCTTCCTAATATTTGTGCTCCATTCTTCATATTTGAAAGTTTCATAATGGTATCTATGAACTGAGAGGACAAGGCGCAGGAATTTAAAGTCTAACCTTTGATGTGACTGGTGTTAGGCAGAAAGTTAGAATGTGTGATCTAACTGGTTCCATCTGGGTTTAAAATATAGTAAATACAAACTGCAAAATCACATGAACATTTGGGATTCAAGAACTAACTGTCAAAAAAGGGGTATATAAGCCCCACAATATTCAATCCCCTTACTAGGCAATTAAGAAGTCAGGCTGACCAAGTATGTCTTGAACTTGTATGAACTGGAACTTGAAATAAACTTTCAGCTAATGATTTGAGGCTTTAGATTAAAAGAGTTGAAGCTTTTCAAGACTTATCTTTGCTCAAAATAAGTCAATGCAGAAGTTTCATAACAAAAGGAATGAGACAAGCAAATGTCTGAGCACATATTTAGCATTTCTAATGAGATGCTAACTGGGATATGGAAAAAATTAAAAATAAATAGGGAGCAAAATATCCATGTTGTGTTGTGGTTTCTTTAGCACTAAAGTTGTACTGTGATGCTGAAAAGATGTAGTATATAACTCCACTGAAGCCAGGGAAGTAACGTTTGGGTTTTCATGTATGTAACTGAGATCCAGTTTGCCTAAATAGCAGTATGTCACCCCAGCTCATGTATATAGAGGTGAATGAAGCGGGGGCGTAGATACAAGAAATCTACCCTCATGAAAATCTGCTTAGTCTACTGAGAGACAAAGGTAGGAGCAGGGTGAATGACAGCGGATAAAGCAAATGTAATTGTGCTTTTGGAAATCAGTGGTTTGGTATAAAACACAAAGGTTAAGAAACTTGGCAAGATAGGTAGGCACCTTGCTGCTTTTTTTCCTTCCAAAAACCTGCATTTATGTTATGTTCACTCTTAAAACTGGCTTCCCAATAGTTATCAGCTCCTAACTATTGGCCTTCATGTGAGCTCATGCTTGGTAAGCGTTAACAGGCTCTCATGGAAAAAAAAAAAACGGTTTAGAGGCTGGGTGAGGCAATTCTAGGCAATAAACTGGGCCTGACTTAAACTGATCCAAGCCCAGTCTTCCTGAAGTAATCCAGTAGATACTGTGCTGTACCCATCCATCTGCTGTACACTGTCACTGCTGCTCTGGTTCCCTCATCCAGCATCCCACTACAAACCTCCCATCACAGCAGGCT